AACCTTATGGAAGATGCATATGCTTCTTTCCTTGATATCTGTTGCAGACACATCATAATACTCATATTTCTAAAAGACCACACATGTAAGTACAAACATACTTTTCTTTACCTTATGTCTCTTTCTAATAATAAAATCATAAACCACTCCAGAGTATAAGCCTAGAATAAGATATGATATGAACATAATCTTGTTCTAAGAAGAGTCACTAATTTCATTGTCTAGGATCAAATCTTTAGATTTTGAAATTAATGACAAGCTCGGAACCAGATGGTGTTAATTATCATAAATTGACATAAAGAAAATCAAAGTACTATCTTAGTACAGTTGACAGAACTCATAGAGAGATTGAGGAATTCTTAGAGAAATTTATTTTAATACAACTTCCATGATGATCCTCAATCAAGAATAAATGGAGTTTCTAAGATATCACCTTAAGGAAAAAACTCCATATTATCAAATATTTTGAAACAAGATAGATTTGACAACATCTGTTGCTCTTCAATACTTGATTTTTATTTCAGAACATAGATGCTTCCTTTCATATGTATCCTGTACTAATATTAACATAAAAAGTTTAGACATTGAAGAGCATCTGATATTAAGTTCTGGTAGTAATTCTTCTTGCTTTTAGATCTGGAAAATCAGTTGAAATACAAGTATTTCAGAAGCATCTGAAGTTACTCTTCTATAAATAGATATCTCAATTCATTCAGCCAGTATGGAAGTTCTTCTGACAATTCATTGAGCTAAATTGAGAAGGTGATATGTTGAATAGTTTTTCATCATCTAACTTTATTTCTTTCCTTTGAAGACTGCAAGACAATCCTTCAGAACACAGCAGATTTAAGACATAAACATCCTAAATAACTGTGATCTTAGATTTAAGTCTAAGAGAAATCTTTTTAGAATTTGCTTGAAAAGATTAGATGAAGTGTAACTGTTCAAGCTTTAGAAACTTATTCCGAAAAATACAAGCATAAGAATTCAAAGTTTGTTTAGGCATCAGACACATCAATGATGTTGATATACTCAGAAGTGAGATAGAGAATCTACTAGAATGCAATTACCTATGAAGATATTCAATATGTATCTTCTGAGCTGGTAAAAGAGGTTTTTAAGATATTCTATAGACCATCAACTTCTATAGTAATATCTCTTTCAAGGATATCCTATAGACCTTCAGCAACCCTTTATCAAGACCAGTGAATTAAAAATATGTTTAGCTTTTCCATCATTTAAATTGCAGAGTTAGTTCATCAAGAGGTGACCGTACATTTGCTTCTGAAAAAGATGTCTTCTAACTTATTCATTCTGAACAACACCAGTGACTTAAATCCTTTTACAAACAGATTAAATTTCTGAGATTAACAACTGATAACATTATACCAATTACAGTTTGTTCAACTGAGACAACTTCTCAAGTTAACTGAACTTAATTGTCCATGCTACTTCTATAAACATCTCAGAGTTCATCTTTCATCAGATCCCAGATGAGTTAATGAACTTCCCTACAAGAACCATCTACAGATTTCTTTGAAACTTTTCAAAGAAAATAGCTTTCAGATGCATTGTATCAGAAGTATCATTTCTTCAAGATTTAAACTTTCTCTGATATTACTTCTATTTTGCAGACTTCATTCTGAAACTCTTATGAATCAAAAACATTAGCAAACAATATTTCTTTATTTACTAAAGATAATTTCCAATGAGCTTTTCATGAGAAAGTCAAGAGTGGACTAATCTGTTTCTTGAAAACATCTCATACTCACATAGAAATAATCTTCAGCAAACAAGATTTCTTGCTTTTTGATGATTTGATCTTTGAGCTGATGCGTTGTACCTCCAAATGCATTTTAAGAAGAGCATTCAACAGAAAACTTCTTATCTGATGAATCTCTCTTGTCAACTGATTCTTCAATCTTCTTTCAAGCTTCAATGGAGAAGATTTTGTTGTTGAAAACTTCATAAAACTTCAAACTTGATACAAATTATTGACTTGCTCAAAATAACCCATTTGATTACAATTTCAGTACACATCTTCATCAAAAACTGATATTTGACTGAAATTATAAGAGAAGTGAAAAACCACCAAGAGTATTTCTTCATACAGCTTTAGGATATTTTTTTGACACTGTTAGGTGTTTGATATCCATCAATAACATAACCGGAGCTCTGATACCAACTGAAGGTGTGAGAAATACACAAGAAAGGGGGGGGGGGTTGAATTGGGTATTTACTCTCTTAAAACTTTTTTAAATTTTCCTTTTGTTACTTTCCTTCTTCTTCACTTGTTGCTTCTAGAGATTGCATTGTGGAAGCATAAATAATAAAGCACAACACAAGTAAAGAACACATGATATATCCTGGTTCACTTGAGAAACTCTCAAGCTAATCCAGTCCACCCATCCAAGGTGATTTCGCCTCTCTCAAGAAAGGACTTAATCCACTATAACAAAACTTATTACAGTTGCATAAGCTAACTGCAAGTGACTAACAAATGAACACTGACACGTTCAGGGATCCAACTGGATATAATGTTCATTGACACAAATGACTACTGTCACTTGTCATCTCAAGTATTCTGATCTTCACAAGATCACTTGAGGAATCACTTAATTCTAAAATGAATTTGTGTTGCCGGAGATTACATGAGTGCTTCTTAACAAGCAGATTACTCCTAATTAAGTACTTATCAAGATTGAGCAACAACTCCTTTCTTTCTGATATAGAAAACTAATCTAAATATAAATCTCTATGAGATTATAAAAACAGTAGTTTCCATATTGCTTTTATTTCTAGCTTATTGCATCTTTAATGCATATTTGCTCAGCTGGCTTTCTAACATGTTCTCCAACAATCTAACGACATGCTGACAACATGCTAACATATGAATGTCTCAAATGTTCTTTTTTATATTGCTTCCAAAGGAGTCGTTGGGAGGATAAGGATGTCCAAACAATATTCCAACGGTCATATCTCAACGGGTAGATAAGCACGTGTTGGGTAGCTTTCTTTGTCCTTTTGTTCCAACGTTAATATTTCATATAACAGCTTGGACAAATCAGCTTCTGGCTTGTTCTTCTGAATATGTATCTGATGAGTAGTTCAGAAACTACTTTGGTATAAAAGCTTCAGCATCAGAGTTGTTTAAGCACATGTTTATCAGATTTAATAGCAGCAACTTATCTGATGAGTAATACGCCTCTGTCTGGGTGAATCTTCTTCTGACACAATCTTCAACTTTAGAATCCAGTCTTCAGCATTCCAAGATCTAAGTTTCCTCTGAAACAGTCTTGAGAATCTTCGTGACTGATTCTTCAAAAATCATGTCTTCAGAATCTTCAGAGTTTTGATCTTCAGAGCCTTCAGCCTTCAGAACTTCAAGTCATTAGAGTCTTCAGAGTAGTTCTTCAGAGGACTCACTCTTTAGAGACGCTTGTTAGCTTCCAGATTAGATTCACTTCTCAGAACAGAGTCCACATGAGCATTGCAACTGTAATATCCAGCATCCTTGGATCTTTATGATCGTGACCAGATACAGATGCATACTTGCTTCTTCAATATGCTTTGTTTGCTTTCAGATCAGATGCACTACTCAAAGCAGAATCCACAGGAGCATTGCAACTGCAATATCCAGCGTCCTTGGATCTCTCTGATCGTGATCAGATGCATAAGCAAACTAGCTTCTCCCATAAGCGCTTTATGATACGTCACACATAGTAACTCTCATATTGTATTAGCTGCACACGTTGATGTTGTTTGTTTGATCTTATATATTTAATTATCATGATCTGCACATAACAAACATTAGAAAATAAAACTATTCTTTCATAAATACTTAATTGTTATCATCAAAACATAGAGATAATCCTGTAGAGACAAATCTTGCTCTTACAGAAGACCTACAAAAAATGATGGGGAATGCAGGTTTAAGTGAAATGGATAGCATTGAGGATCATTTCACATGGTCCAATAAACAAGCAGCTGGACCCATCTACTCAAGGATTGACAGAGTTTTGGGTAATACTGACTGGTTTCTCAATAATATGGAGACCTTATTGAAAATTCTCCCACCTAATATTTCTTATCATGCCCTGCTATATCTGGAATATAAACAGAGGAAACCATCCAAACACTTTAAGTTTAGCAACTGCCTTACTAAACTGCTAGGTTATGATACTTTGATCAAGAAGAATTGGGATGGTCCTATTAGGGGTAGCCCAATGTATGTTCTTTGGCACAAACTTAAGAGTGATGGCAGGCAGACATCACTCCAACTGCCTTACCAATCTGAGGAAGTGTGATGGCAGGCAGATAACAAACAAAGCAGATATTGAGAAGGGAGTGATTAATTTCTACAGAAACTTAATGGGCAAAGATATTAACAACATTATCCATATTGATATTGAAGCCATGAGGATGGGAAGGCAACTTAACATGGAGCAAAGGGAATACCTCACTTGAACCATATCAGAAGCTGACATCACCAAAGCCCTTAGAGGGATAGGAGACCTAAAAGTACCAGGACTTGATGACTGTGGAGCCAAATTCTTCAAGGCCAGCTGGACAACTATAAAAACTGATGTGATAGCAGCTGTTAAGGAATACTTTGAAACAGATAAAATATACAAAGCTTTCAACAGTGTTGTAGTTTCCCTGATTCCAAAAGGCCATAATGCTTGTAAACTAAAAGACTACAGACCTATAGTTGTTTGTACCACTTTCTATAAAATCATCTCCAAGATTCTGACAGACAGACTAGGAACTGTCCTTCCTAGTGTGGTAAGTCACAATCAGGCATCTTTCGTACCAGGCCAGAACATACATAACCACATCATGCTTGCAACTGAGCTTCTTAAGGGATACACAAGAAAAGGGGGACACCTAGAATCATGCTGCAAATAGATCTGCAAAAAGCATATGATATGGTTAATTGGAGTGCTTTAGAATGTATCATGAAGTAAATGGGTTTCCCTAACAAATTCGTTCAATGGACTATGCTAGGCATCACCACTGTGTCCTACAGATTTAACATCATGGGGGAATACACTGATATTTTACAGGCCAAAAGGGGGATTCGACAGGGTGATCCTTTATCACCTATGCTCTTTGTCCTCATAATGGAATACATGAACAGGCTGTTGATGAAAATGCAAAGAGATCCTAATTTCAACTACCATGCCAAGTGCGAGAAGCTGAAAATCACCAACCTCACTTTTACAAATGATGTGCTGCTACTTTGTAGAGGAGATGACATATCAATGCAAATGATTTTAAATTCTTTCAAAGATTTCTCCAATTCCGCAGGTTTGATAATGAACCCTAACAAGTGCAAAATCTATTTTGGAGGTTTGGATAATGAGAGCAGAAAGACTTTGGAAGAATCCATCAACCATTTTATGCCTTTGGTGGATAAAATTGTGGCTAGAATCCATCATTGGTCCTCTAGAATCCTAAGTTATGCAGGAAGAATACATTTAGTGAAAAGTATATCTGCTGCAATGGTGCAATACTGGATGCAATACCTCCCTATGCCCAAATCTGTGATCAGAAAAATAGACTCCATATTTCGAAGCTTCATCTGGACTAGTAAGGATACGATAAGTAGAAAATGCCTCGTGGCATGGAAATGCACCTGCTGCCCGACTGCACAAGGGGGGGATGAATCTGCTGAATCTTCAGGTATGGAACAATGTGCTGCTCCTGAAATGTTTATGGAATATGTGCAACAAAACTGATACTTTATGGGTTAAATGGGTCCATACTCACTACCTGAAGGATAAAAGTGTGATGAATTATGAAACCAAAGCACACAATTCTTAGATTATGCGCGGCATTTTGAAACAACGAGAAAACATGGAGGTAATCCGGAATGAATGGGACCAAGTCATGAATGCGCACAAGTTTAAAGCATCGGTATTTTATAAGTTGCTGATTGATGATGGCACAAGGGTGCTTTGGAGAAAATTGATAAAATCCAACAGGGGACGGTCGCGAGCAGTGTTTTGCTTATGGAAAGCATGTCATGGAATGCTTGCAACCAAAGACAGGTTGAAACGATTTGGGATGATTGAGGACAGCAGCTGCAATTTATGTCATTCCGAGGAAGAAATGATGAATCATCTATTCTTCTGTTGTCAAGAGACAAGTAACATATGGAAGGAAGTGCTCAAATGGTTTAACATTTATCATGAACCTCAACCATGGGATGCAGAGCTGGTTTGGATCACCAATATAACAAAGGAAAAGGGATGGAAAGTTGATGTTTTGAAGATGTTAGTAGCTGAAACCATATACAACATCTGGGGGTATAGGAATAGTAAAAATTTTGGAAACATTGTAGATAATACAACCATGGATACTAAAATCATAGATAATGTGATCTATAGAAGGTGGAAAAACATTAAGATTAGAAAACATATTGTTAGTTTTATGATCTAATTTTGAGTCCTTTTGGTCGGTTTGGATCCACCTTAGAACACCTAGCTTTGTATTGACGTTTTTTTGAATTAATATATTGTTTCCTTGATTAAAAAAAACGATGATAAATCACTATCAAATATAAATACAAACATCATAAAATTAAATTCATCATTAAATTACAAATACAAGTATAATAAAATTCTAATTCATTTTCAAAGATAAAAATTATAGAAAACAAACAAAAAAATTGTGAAGTAAAACAAATCCACATGATACATGTATTTTGATGGGAAATTAAGACACAATAGTAGAGCAATATGAAACGGGTATAAAATTCCCCGGACTTGTAGGAACCTTGAGGATCAACAACAAATATAAGACAACAAATCGAATAAATAAAGGCACAAAAGAACACCGATATTTTTAACGTGGAAAACCCCTCAATAAAGGTAATAACCATGAATCGTCCAGACCAAAGAAATAACTCCACTATAATCAGTTAAAGGTACAATAGAGTCTTAAAGTGATTAACAAACTAGTGCTAACATCCGCAAATCACAAAATTTAGATATATGTGTTACAAACCTACCCTCCAAAGTTGAGATCGATATGACGGCTAACAAATCGAGGATCGTCGATTTAGTGAGGAATGAATTTCTCTCATCTTTTCTCTCTTTTGAATCCTTATTTTCTTTCTATCTTTCTCAACCCTAAATTGATCCTCTCTACTTAAATAAGTGATACAAATGAGCTAATCATATTTGAGTATTTCTCCACATAGGAAGGGAGCTCAAACCTAACAAATCTCCCCTCCTAACTATGTGGAGAAAATCGCCAAATTGACGATATCACAACAAGCTTAAAATTTCCCCCTTGGTAATGCTTTAGTCAGCATATTAGAACCATTATCATATGTATAAACTTTAGCTAACTCCAACAACTTAGCATCCAAAACATCACGTATCCAATGGTATCTCACATCAATGTGTTTGGACCTATTATGAAAAGTTGAATTCTTACCAAGATGAATAGTGCTTTGACTATCAACAAATAACACATGTTTGTCTTGAACAAAACCAAGCTCCTACAAATATTTCTTCAACCATAATAACTATTTGCATGCTTCGGTAATTGTAATGTACTCAGCCTCAGTAGTAGACTGTGCTACACACTTTTGCAATCTAAACTGTCAAGCCGCAACTCCCCCTGCAAATTTAATTATGTAGCCTGAAGTGGACTTTCTGGAATCAATGTCTCCAGTCATATCAGAGTTAGAGTACCCCACTAAAGTATGATTAAATCCTCCAAAACAAAGCCTCAAAGAAGTAGTTCTGCGAAGATACCTTAAAATCCATTTTATAACACTCCAATGCTCCCTACCTGGATTTGATAAGAATATATTGATTATACCAATAACAAGTGTTAAATATGGTCTTCTACACACCATTGCATACATCAAACTACCCATAATAGATGCATAAGGAACAAGTTTCATATCAAATGCTTCATCTTCAATTGAAGGAATTTGATTAGAACTCAACTTGAAATGAGTAGCGAGAGAAGTGCTTACCGCCTTAGAACTCTTTATGTTGAATCTTTTCAACACTCTTTCGATATAATGTTCTTGTTACATCCAATGTTTCTTATCTTTTTTTTCATGCATGATTCTAATGCCAAGAATTTGTTTAGCTGCTCCCAAATATTTCATGGAAAATGACTCTTCCAATTACTTCTTTAACCTGTTAATGTTAGAAATAATTTTCTCTACAATAAGCATATCATCAACATATAACAACAAAATAATGAAGTTATCGTTAGAAAATTTTCTAAAAAAGACGTAACGACCTGAAGTAGTCTTCTAGTATTCTTGAACACACATAAGAGACTCAAACTTCTTGTACCACTGCCTTGGAGCTTGCTTCAACCCATATATACTCTTTCTCAATCTACATACATGATTTTCTTTACCTTTAACTTGAAAATCATCGGGTTGTTTCATGTAGATCTCTTCCTCAAAATCACCAAAAAGGAAAGTCATTTTCACATCCATTTGCTCAACCTCTAAAACAAGAGTAGCAGACAAACTAATTTATGGCATCTTTACAACAGGTGAGAAAATATCATTAAAATCAACACCTTTTCTTTGACGGAAACCATTCACCACTAATAATGCTTAATATCATGGAGAATTAGAGTTTCCTTAATGTTTAACTCTATAAATCCATTTGTTCTCCAAAGCCCTTTTACCTTTAGGAAGCTTAACTGAATCATAAATGTGATTATCATGTAATGATTTCATCTCATCAAACATTGCATCCATCCACTTTTGGATTTCATCACTTTCCACGATCTTTTAAAATTATCAGGTTCACCCTCATCATTCAAGGTCACATACTCATCAGAATTATACCTTGTAGAAGGTTGTCTCTGTCTGTTAGACCTCCTAAGTTGAACTTGAGATGACTCTAGAGCTTCACTAATATTCTCATCCTGTGACATATCGCTTTCCCATTCACCATCATTAGTTGGAATATTTACCTCATCTCCAAGTTGTTGATCATCAACATAATCATATAGCTCATCATTTTAATAAACACCACCAACAACATCCAAATTATGATTAGGTAACAGAACTGGATCAACATTATAAAAACTAATATATTTCCTGGGTGTAGTCAGTCTTCTCTACCTTATCAATATCTTAAATAGTTTGGTATTCCATAAACACAAAATAACGAATTCGAATAAGCTTCTTCCCTACATGATCATACTGTAACACCCCAACTTTTAGTAATTATTTATTTATATTAATTAATTGAGTGATTTTATACATATTTGATTTATTTGAATTATTTAGTTTATTGGATTTATTTGAATTATTTGATTTAATTGAGTTATTTGATTTAATTGAGTTATTTGATTTAATTGATTTATTTTATTTGGTGGAATAATATCTGAAAATAATAGAAATAAGTAATTGGGCCTATTGGATGAGAATGTGAAGAGTAAAGGTGGGGGTACGATTAGTAAGCCCATTAGTTACTAGAATTAGTTTTTATAAGGGTTTTATATATAAGGATAAAAATATGGTTAATGAGGAAAAAAAGGAAAAGAAGTTATCATTGAGAAAAGGAAAAAGGGAAAAAGAGAAGAAGAAAACTTAAGGAGAAAACTCAAGAGTTCATCAAGAAACCAAGGTAAGGGTGAGTCTTTACATGGTTATGAGATTGTATGATAGTGTATGATGGGTAGTAGCATATTTAGGATAAAAATCCATAATTTCTATGATAGTTGTTATATGATGATTATATGATGAATTTGTGTGCCTTATATGTGTGTATTCTTTTTTTGAGAATTGAACATATATCCATCAATTTCAAAGGTTTTAGGCATAATCTTAAAACAATGATTAGATGGTTTAATTATATTAAAATTGTAAATTTACTTGAGATAATTACAGTGTTGGATGGGTTGTAATTTTTAAGAGTTTGGTTGTTTATGAAATAGAAATCGGAGGTCCGAAAGGCATCCAACGTTGAAAAACGTAGAAAATTCTGCATGCTATTCGTCACGACTGTTAATGTTTTCCGTCAAAATCATTTTGGACGTAACGTTTGATCCGTAAGTCCATTTTGGTCCCTATTCGAAGCGTTGGAAAGCTAATGAACAGGGCTATAACATAGTATAAATAAGATAATTTTTTGTCTAATATTTTTATATCTAATATGTTTGGGAAGTCAATTGTGTATATGTTCTATTAATGAATTGCACTGTTTACTGCCGGTTGTGAAATTATTTGTGGATAATTTATCGAATACTTGTGTGTATACTTTTATAAGTATATCTTGGTGTGTGACAACATGAAATGCATGATAGTTATTGCTTGTTATAATCATAATACAGTTGTGATTGTATTGTAAAATGTGTTTTATACCATTTGAATAATGAATTTAATTATTAATGATGAATTAATTATTCTATGATTAATCAATAATGTGTGTTGTGTGTATTGATATTGGATTGTGTTGATACTTTGTGTATTATTTACTAAGTATGGTGGAAATGTTTGAAGTAAGAATGTTATGATTACGAAAATGTGATTATTGATGATAGCCTTTGTAGCGTGAAAATATTGTATAAATAAATATCAATGTATGTGGTAAGTAATTAATTATGTTGAATTACGTGTGTATGCATATGTTTGTCATGAGTCAATTATCATGGTTTGTATTGCATAATACTTGGACAAGACTCGTACTTAATGGGGTAGAATGATTGAGATGTCGTTTCTAGTGGAGTATACGTGATATAGTTGTACACACTAGGGTAAAATGACTAAGATGTCGTTCCTAGTGGGGTACTCACTGGGGTAGAATGACTGAGATGTCATTCCTAGTGGGGTATAAGTGATATAGTCGTACGCACTGGGGTAGAATGACTAAGATGTCATTCCTAATGGGGTACTCACTGGGGTAGAATGACTAAGATGTCGTTCCTAAAGGGGTATAAGCAATGTATCCATAATTTTGAATGAATTGATGAGAATTGATGGGTTCTATATGAACCAAATGGTCAGTTGCATTGTGTTGCATTGTGGTTGAAATATGAGATTATGCAAAATATATGAAATTGATGAATTGGTGAAATTGTGGATTTGTGAGTATGTACTTATGAATAGTATGGTAACTTGAGTGATAATATATTGATGATACTTTTGAAGTGTGGGAATAATTGTGATTATGCTTGTATGCCTTAAATTATATATATCTTATAATTTCAATAATTATGTGAATTCTCACTCTTTTGTTGGAATGATGTTTTGTACGACATCGCTCAGGTACCGAAGAATAGAGTTGCTTCTAGTGCGAGGTAGTCGTTGGAGTAGCTAATTTAGTTTCTTTATTTACGTTGGGTCGAGTCGTATTCCGATCATGTAACATTGGAATCGTTTCGATTTATGTTTGAGAAATACTTTATATACTCTACTTTATTTTGTTATTGTTATTTGAATTATGTGA